GCTTAATACGGACGTGGTTTGGATGATACAGGAGCGGGGCTTGGTGTGGTGGTGAGAGATCACAATGGCGCATTCATTTTGGCGGCGGTCAAATGAATTAAAGGAGTCCGTGATCCAACTTTGGGAGAAGCTATGGCTGTGGAGTTTGGCTTTCAATTGGCTTGACAACACCAGCTGGCCTCACCCATTGTGGAGACAGATTGTCAGGTGGTTGTTAACAAGCTGGCCGCGCTGGAGAGAGTCCAAACGGAGCTGGGCACGATTCTTAGGAACATAAAGAGGTTGGCGGCAGAGACTGGTGATGGCCAAGTGCAGTATGTAAGTAGGAAGACAAATGAGGCGGCTCACATTATGGCGCATACGAAAGCGAGATGGGATATGGCGGATGTATGGTTTGATAGACCACCGCCGAATCTGTTGGATCAGCTTGATAGCGATGATGCAACCTCTCTTTCGTCGTAATAAAGCTGAAGTGCAGGTTCTTATAAAAAAAAATAGTAATAAGATTGATCATATTTTATTGGGTTATAGGTATAATATGCCCTTCTACTATGACGTTTTATCAAACATGCCCCTCTACTATTTTTTACATCAAATATGCCCCTGTACTTTGAAAAAATTATCAATCATGCCCTTCTGTTAAAATTTCCATTGAAAAAATCGTCAATCATGGTTGAATTGAGATTTAGACGACCCGACATCGGCAAATGGGAGGGAAAATGTCAGTTTTGTCCCCTGTTTTATTTCCCTGGGTCTTTTCAAAGTGAAATTATTTGAATGATTTGATTATACAAAAAAATCAAAAAAATTCTAAAGTGAATTTATTAGGAATATTTTAGTCATTTGTGTCACCCAAACTAAAGTTCGGTCTTGGTTAACGGTTTTTTGATGAAAATTTGAACAAAATGGCATGTTTGATCATTTTTACAAAGTACAGGGGCATGTTTGATGTAAAACATAGTAAAGGGACATGTTTGATAAAACATCATAGTAGAGTGGCATATTATACCTATAACCCTATTTTATTTTTCTCCGGCCAAAGCTAGTTCCGAATATATATTTTAATCAGGAGTGGAGTATGGCTCGGGTTACGGCTCAAGACCCAGAGCAACAAAATCTCGATTATACTAGGGGTAATATAATTTTATATTGGGATGGTAATAATGGTATGATCGGTATTTTATAGGTTTGAATTTGTACACTACTATTATTTCCCATAAAATATTTTTATTTTTTAATATTGTACCCATCCGTAACCAATTTATTTGGGTAGTCCTAATTGCCTCTTCATTCACTTTATCAATATATGCGTTGATCAAATATCTCCCAAAAAAGTGCAATAATACTCATTAATAGGTTCACAACATTTTTATAAGTATTTCAGTAAATTTCATCTAAGAACCAAAAATGCGCAGCGAAGCGCGCAAAAACAAGTGGACTAGTGTATATAACAAGACTGGGATTTCAACAAACAGCCACTGTAGTAAAGTGCTTTATTGGATCTTGATGGATAATACATATGATACACAGTGTATTGTGTTTCACCATCTTGAGACTCTACGAATCTTCTTTTATATCGAGTTGTGCTTACTTTGTACTTAATGTTAGAATTGGGTGCTACTTTCATCCATACCTTTTACCTTTCACAACCTTTCTCTTTGGGATTATTCTATATGATAAATTTTATTTGGAAGGAGTTTTATAGTTTATTCGATTATATGGTTCTCTTCGCTGGTACTTGGAGTATTGAGGTGTTTCGAAAGAATGCACAACATTTCATTCATGAGAGAACTGAATACATTTTGATGAAGATTAAGACCATGAATGATATTAATTTGTTGCCTCGATGATGCATCTTTGGTGGTGTCACCCTAGCATTGCTTCTTCTCCCCTCGATACTTTATCATCTCGTCGTACAAGGACATCTTCCATCTTCGGGAGCATTTTCTCAAACGTTATATGTTAAGAAACACGTTATAATTACCAAAAAAAATAACTATCAAACGTCTCTCGTCATTCGAGAAAAGAGAAAAGCGCACGCAAATGTATGCCCAATAATAGTGAAAACACGTTTATAAATGAACGGACGGTACAATCCCTCCACACTCTGATCGTGCATGGTAACAGAATTTGAGTTCATATGTACTTACTTAGGGGTATCTCGTGTTCTTTCAAGTTGGGAATGCTCTTTGCCCTCCCATGTGATCAGTTAGATAAAGATGGAAGTCCCCTCACCAACTTCATTCCGATCGTGGGAGAGTCTAACACCGGACTGACGAAACTTTTGAAACCTTTTTCTTTTTTTGGCATATATGGAATGCTTTGCTTTAGCTTTACACACAAATGAACACTACTACTGCTACTACAGCATAGAAGTGAAGTATAGATATACACAAATCGGGTATTCGCTTAGTGTTGAGTGTGATGAAAGTGGGGAAAGCAAAGCAAAACCCTTTTCCTTTCCCTCCAACAAGAAAAAGGATATGCAAACATCCCTTTTCGAGTTGTCCTTTTCTCCCTTCTTTGTCTGATATTAATGGCTCGGTAGGGATACGTGGCATCGGTTTTATCACAAAGATGATAAAATTGTATAGGAGATTGTACTGGAAAAGTCAATAGTATGATATATTATGTTGAAATCGTGATTTTTCCATAGTTCGACTATTTTTAATCACTAACCGCCAACCGATCTAGACTCTGATAGAACATTTTTTCAATCGAATTGCCGGTTCCACTAACACTATTTTAGCAACGAACCCGATAATGGAGGGTTGGAAAATTAGGTCAGGAGTCCACCGAACAGGGGGATTGTTTTTAGGGTTAGAAGAACGAACGACGGTCCCAACTAGCTTGAAAATTGGGGTCAAGCAATTGAATTCTTAATGGGTTGGCTGTTTGGTCAAAGCTGTCGAGTATAAAGCCATGAATTTGCAATTTGAAAAAAAAGGAAAAAACAAAAAACCGCTTTGCAAAAAGGAAAAGAGGAAAAAGAGGGAGAGCGACGGGGAAAGAAAAATATATCCGAAATTGCCCCAAAGATGTGGGCCCAGCCAGTGAGCCCACACAACCGCACGAGACGTTTTTATGGGTACAAGGCCTTCTGACTTCTGAGTTCTGACGGTGGCATCAGAAGAATAAATCGAAGGTATTTTTTTTATGGTCAATCGAAAGCCCTGTCAAGTTTACCAAAAAAAAGAAATTTAAATTACAAAAATAAGCCCTGCCAAGAAGTATCTTTTTATATATTTTGCCAGAATTTTTTACATTAAAGAATTACATAGTCTATTCTTGACAAGGTTGTTAAACCCCTATAGAACCCTCCGGTTGGACCCGGTTCAACCCGAGTCGGGCTTCAAAACGGCCTCCAGAAAACCCCTCGGTCTGACCCCTAAACAGGGAGAAGAAGAGAGGAAAAGGAACGAAGGAAGGGAAATGGTAGGTGGATCATGGAGGTTAGGTAGATTTATTTTGTTGAAAATAAGTTTTTAATAGATATATGTAAGATAAATTTTATTTCACTCATTAAATTTTTAATTACTACTTTATTTGTATATATATTTAGAAAACGTCTAAAACGGCTCAAACCGGCCGGACCCCGATCAGACCATTAAACCTCAAACCCCTTGCTTGACCGGCTCAATGACTTAAACCGGTTTGACAACCTTGATTCTTGAGCACGGATGATTTGATAAAGAAGATTTTTTGATTTGTGGATTACGAAAAAAATATAAGGACCTCTCAATCCTATCCATCTCAAAGTTGGATGCCACTTGAGAAAATATTATAATAAACGAGGAAACAATAGATTTTTTAGATATCGTTAACGTTTGTCTAAAATGAAGTAGTTCAATTGAAATTTTTTGTGGGAGGCTAAAACCATACCTGCCCCATACTCATCAAATTTTTTGCGGTCAAAGCGAGGATTCCCCGCGTTGACTGGGTCGGGGGCGGTCGAATACCCGCGGCCATTGGTTTGATTGTCATCCCTAATTGCAAAGGACTCTAACTTTTTATGTTCTCTCCCTTCTCTCTAGTTACCAAACGAATTTGAATCTCATGGGGCTGCCGTCGGTTTCCTCTGAATCCAGCGGTGGCCCTCAAAATATGTTCTTTCTCTTTTCTTTTCCTTGATTATTCTCTTCTTCAATTTGCTTTTGTTTTTTTCTTTCATTTCCCTTGTTGGTTAATGCTTGTTTCTCCCCTTTCGGGATTTTCTTCCATCCCTCGGATGATGACATCTTGATGAACAGATTCCCTCTGTTCTAGGGTTTTGCTCGAAACTCACGAGCGAGAGAACGACGTTGGTGTCGATAAACCTTAACTTTATTGATTGATTGATAAATCAGACTAATACCGTGGTTACAATATATAAGCGACTAAACCTAATACGTAACCCTAACTAACCTCAACTCTACTAACTATCCTAGTCGACTACTAATGCTACGAACTCAACAAAGACTTAGACTCAAACTCTACCTCCCAACTCCCTATTCGGCCCATGCAAGTTGCGTACTACCTCCTAGACAAAGCTAGCCTAATTACCCATAACATAATAACCCAACTCAAACATAATTAGCCCAAACCCCTAAACGTAATATCCCACAATAAGCTAATAAGGTGGACATTTACACCTAAACGTAATATACCTTCCCCTCCAAAGAACCTTGGTCCCCAAGGTTCGATCCATGCCGAGACACGGAGGTCGACGGCGGTGGCAACAACAGCTCTTTCGACGGCCAGGCTTGCGTCGCTTCCGGAATTTCCAGATTTTCCATCGAATTCCGTTATTCTTCCACGTATGGACCGAACGACGGTGTCACACCCCTCCATCTTCAGCATAGTCAAAACATAACCCCTCCTGCAGATTGGTTCGCTTCTTCGATGCAAGCCGTGGACATCCAGCTTCAACCAACACGAACTGCGGCAGCCTCTTTCTAAACTTGCATGGGTGTACGTGGCCCATAACTCCCCTCCACGCAGAAGTTCCCATAAGTAGCTCGTCAATGCTCATGTGAAGCGCCAGCAACTTGTTTTTTTTCCTCAAACGAGGAACCAACATGAGGCTTCTTATTCGCATCGCAGGGTCCCGCTCGTGCACGACCAGCTCCCGCCAGAAATCTGTATGACTTGCGCTTGCGAATCAATGGCGTCAATTTAAACGACTCCAAAACTTCTCTGCCGCAATCAGTTTTGTTAACGGAGATTGCGGTATCCTCCTCCGCCTTGGTTTCATTGGCATCAACGCGGGTCATGTTGTCGTCGCTTCGCTTCCTGTCGATGACGGTCACGCTTTGAAATTGGCCATCCAACTGCTTCTCCCCCACCATTTGTGGTGTCAACGCATCCACCTTGGCCACCAAAGACTTCAACGTTTCCAAGATCTCGGCTACCTGCCCGCGTACCTCCTCATGACCCGCCGCAGTGTTCTGCGCTAGGGCTTGCAAGTCCTCCACCGCAGCCTCCGGTGCTGAGCATCGTTCCGCTGCTGTGCCCGTACCCATTGCGATCAGGCCCCGAACGGATTCGGAACCAGGCTCTGATACCAATTGATGAACAGATTCCCTCTGTTCTAGGGTTTTGCTCGAAACTCACGAGCGAGAGAACGACGTTGTTGTCGATAAACCTTAACTTTATTGATTGATTGATAAATCGGACTAATGTCGTGGTTACAATATATAAGCGACTAAACCTAATACGTAACCCTAACTAACCTCAACTCTACAAACTATCCTAGTCGACTACTAATGCTACAGACTCAACAAAGACTTGGACTCAAACTCTACCGCCCAACTCCCTATTCGGCCCATGCAAGTTACGTACTAACACCTAGACAAAGCTAGCTAATTACCCATAACATAATAACCCAACTCAAACATAATTAGCCCAAACCCCTAAACGTAATATCCCACAATAAGCTAATAAGCTGGACATTTACCCCTAAACGTAATATACCTTCCCCTCCAAAGAACCTTGGTCCCCAAGGTTCGATCCATGCTGAGATGCGTAGGTCGACGGTGGTGGCAACAACAGCTCTTTCGACAGCCAGGCTTGCGTCGCTACCGGAATTTCCAGCTTTCCCGTCGCTACCAAGATAACGAACAGGTAAGGAGCCTAGCTTATAACTAGAAAACTATGCCATCCCAGCCTGCCATTGATCACACAACCCTCCACAATAGAGCTCACATTTCGAAGGGTTTTATTGGAGACCAGACATAATAAGAAACTGATTAAGAACGTTTTGAATGCATTGTATACCAAAGTTGGAACCATTAGAGAATAGTAAAAGATCATCAACAAACATAAGGTGTGCCAAACTTAACCTCTTACATATAGGGTGAAAAGGCATTTCTCCTTGCTGAACAACCTTATGCACAAGACAGGAGATCACCCCCATTGCCACAACAAATAGGTAGGGAGAGAGAAATCTCCCTGCCTCAATCCCTTTTTTGCAGGAAAAATATCCCACACAGCCCACATTAAACCCTATACTCAGCTTTGGGGTAGTGACACAAATCCTTAGCCAGGCTATAAACACATCAGGGAAGCCTATTGCTCTAAGAAAATTAAAGAGGAATAACCAATCGATAGAGTCAAATCCTACCATACTTTCTGAACCAGTTCATGGGCTAATAGGATGTTTTCACCTATCTCTCTACCCTTTACAAATGTAGTATGAGATTCACTAATGATGCTAGACATAATAGAGCTCATTCTAGTAGGTAAGATTTTTCCATGCACTTATAAAGGATATTATAGCAGGAAATTGGCCTAAAAAACTTCATTTCCTCAGGGTTAGAAACTTTTGGAGAGTATTAAAGCGTAAGCTTTTAAGTATTAAAGCGCGATTTTGACTGCATTAGAACTAAGGCAAGGAGAGTAGAGTTAATACTGACTGGATTTTGACACTTGAAAACAGTAGAGGATAGCAGTTATTACCTCAGAGACCACAACACTCCAAGCTGCTTGGAAAAAATAAGCTGGATAACCATCTGGCCCAGGGGCTTTCTCTTCATTGAAGCCAAAAATAGTAGACTTGATCTCCTCAACTGTAACTGGGTTGCATAATTCAGCCCGTTGAGCAGGCGATAATTTCTTTAACAATAAACCCTTCAGTTGTTCTATATCAGGAGCCACAACAGCTTTGTCCTGCTCTCCAAGTAGCTTTTGATAGAATCTCTCTGCAATGTGACTCATCCCATCAGTATCAGTAACTCTCCACCTCCCCCTGACTCATCCAGAAGGGAACGAATCATATTTCTTTTTTGTCTTGTCTTAACTGACTTATGAAAATAAGAGGAATTTGAATCCCCCTCCTTCAACCATACTTCCCTAGACTTTTGTCTAAAGAAAGACTCTTCAGCATCCCTTAGTTCATTTGCCTCTTTAGCAAGCCTTATTTCAACTTCAAAGGTAAGAGGAGAAGGGTTCCTTAGTGCCTCTGCCTGAGCAACTAACAGTTTAACATTTTTTAACCTGACTCTCTTACTAAGGTCTGAGTAAACATCCTTATTCAACTTCTTGAGAAGCCTCTTCAGGATCTGCAACTTCTTACATACCCTATCCAGTGGGGATCCATCCACATTCGACTGCCAGGCCTTCTTAACAAGATTCATAAATTCGGGATGTTGGTTCCAGAATTTAAAGAACTTGAACAGCTTGGGAAGGACTTAATAGTGCAATCATGGGTTAACAAAATGGGGCAATGGTCAGAGACAGAAGGATACAGGTGGTCCACAGAGCTTGCAGGCAAAACATCCAACCATTTCACATTAACAAACACTCTATCCAATCTTCTCGCAATTGGATTACCCTACTGCTTATATAACCAGGTAAACCATGGACCAGAGGACTTGTGTTCCTCCAACTCACAATCATACTGCCATTTTTAAAAATCAGCCATTCCAGAGAACCGAGGACTATTGGAAGCTTCATTAGGTTCACCAATAGAATTAAAGTCGCCAAGAATAGCCCAAGGAGCAGAAATTACTTGGTATTTCAACAAATCAGCATACAAATGCCTTCTATCCACCTCTTCATTAGATGCATAGACCACAGATAGGAAGAAAGGAACTCCAGAACTAACCAGAACATGAATGAATTGATATGTATTGTGCAACACCCTTAGCTTTATATCAGCCTTTCATAGAAGACATAATTTTCCTAAACCAGAAGAATTATTTACCACTTTGGGCTCCCACCCAAGAAACCTTTCATGTATCAAATCTTCAGCCTTATTAGCCCTAACCCGAGGATCTAGTATAGCTATAATATCTATATTATGTTTTTTACCAACTGCTGAACAACGCTATTCTTGTCCGGGTCATTAAAACCCTGGATATTCCATGAAAGGATCTTCATCGTTTCTTTCCTGCCCTCCCCCCTTTCCTAGGGAGGATAGGAGCAAAAACAAGAGGGGTATGAGGTTTCTTCTTTGAGCTTCCCACTGTAATCCACAGGTTAGGTTCTTTCTCCTTAGCAACTCAAGTAGCCCGAGAAGGTCGCCTTCCAGAAACTGGTGGACTCCCCTCAACAGACTTAGTGGAATTGAGCTAGGACTCCCATCTTGGACTGATGATCCTAGAACCACATCCACAAAACTTATAGTTGCACTCCCATTTGATGGGGGAGTATGAGAATGAGTCTCTCTCCAAAAACCTCTCGTTCTCGCGATGGCAGCCTCGTCGTTGGAATCTGCTCTGACGACGGGCAATACATCCGGGGTTAGTACTTGGGCTCAGCTGTTCGACGGTGCGCCGGAGAATCGAATGAAGTTTCTTCCTCCGGAGCGCGTCAATGATGGATTTTGGATCCCTAGAGGGGTGAAGAAAAAGGGGGAAGAGCGCTGGCGTGATTGTCTCATCGGTCAGTTCGTCGGTGCTCAACCCAAGGTGGCACAGCTTCAAAACTGGGCTACTGCTCTTTGGGGTAGGGATGATGTTGTGCGCATTTCGTGATTTGGTCCTAGGTTGTTTGTGTTTCAATTTCCCTCTTCGTCTCCCAGTAAATGGGTATTCAAGTCGGTCCCTGGCATTTTCATGGGAATCAACTCTATAGGAGGAAGTGGGTGCCGGGGATACAACCGGTGGTTCCTTAGGTGGAGTCGCTTCCCATCTGGGTTAATATCTAGAGGATCCCGCTGGAATATCACTCCTTGGAAGGTCTAGAGTGGGTGGCGAGCACTCTAGCGCCTCCACTCTAGATGGATAAGACTACTAGAGTGGGTGGTCAGTTGGGTTCGCGAAGGCGTGTGTTGATCTCACAGCGGAGTGTGGCTTTCCTTCCCAGGTTAGACTCTATCTGGATGATGATCCACCATTTGATGTTGAAATTAAATACCTAAATCTGCCTAGGGTTTGCAATTTATGCTCTGTGTATCGTCATGATTGTTCTGCAATGGCTAAGAGTAATAAGAAGTGGGTTGTTAAAGTGAAGTCGACACCTGAAGTGTCTAGTGATTTAGAACATGTTGTGGATGCTGCCAGTGCACTAGTTAAATCAGTGGTTAATGTGGTTCTGCCTGATAAGGAGTCTCTGCTGAATGTTGATGGTGTCACTTCTGATAACCTGTTATGCATTGACTTTTGTACAAAATAATTTTTTAATTGGAAATTCTATTTTGTTGAATAAACTTTGAAAAAAATCAAAGTTTAAAAGGGCAAAAATGACTTTTTGATAAATTTTGTGGGCGACAAATAGTAATGTCTTGAGCAGTAAATAACAACTTCATTATAAAATGCAGCTTCCTCCACAACTGAAGGGAGGACTTCATGGTCTTTTTGTACCAATATACATAGGCTTGGTCTAATTTACTTCTCATTCAAACCCATTAAAATGAAATCCATATATTAAAATCATAATGGTTTTCAAAGCAAATATCAACCATTAATCCATAATCCAATTTCCAAAACATGTGAGTTTCATGTCAATGTAACTATTAGTTGTAGATAGGGATAATATTTTATTATGGAATAGAGAATTTTGGTTTGAACTTTGAAATAAAATTTTTTTATAGTGAAAGAAATAGACAAATTTGTTTCGAAATTTAGTTTGATATTTAACATAAATTGTCAAACATTTATTCAATCTATAACTCAGCATTAAATTATAAGATGGTTGTGACGTGTCTTTCATGCCATTTATTTATAAAAGGGGAGGAATACACTATTTTGCTCTGAACTTTAACCAGGGAAAATTTGGCATGATTTGTTTTTGTATAGTTAATAAAAAATTTCATTTAGCGCCAGGAAGCCTTATAACCAAGGATCCTCTCAAAGTGTACCATTTACAACTTGCAAAGATCATCACAACCTACACACCACTTGATGAAATTTTCAAATAAGACAGTTTGGTATGAAATTTCAATAAAATGAACAAATTTAGCTTGAAATTTAGTTTGACTGTTAATATTTTATGGTCTTATTTAAAATATTTTTAAACAATTGATGTTTTTAGTTTTCAAGTATTTTTAGATTTTTTATGAATAAATGACGTGGAGGTCACG